CTGTAGCAAGACAGCGAGAGCTGGGAATGCAGCTGCAGTACCAGAAGCGGAGAATGACCTTGAAACTGGTGCAGGCATTCCCCAGTGCCAGCTGAGAACTTATCAGTGCTGCTCTCTGCATCCAGGAACAGCTTCCTAGCAGCCACGGTAAAGGGAGTTAACTCCTTCCTGACTGAACCCAGCGCAACCGAATTATCACAGACCAGACAGGGACTTGAATCCCTTTCAATCCAGGTCTTATCCAGACCTCCCTCATCTGAGATAACTATCTAGAGGGGATTTAAGCTCCTAAGATACTTTTTTAGCCAAACCCTGCACAGCTTCTTGCTGCATCTGGCGGGACGGCAACCAGAAAATCAGAAATCCACCTGGAAGGTAGAAGAATCCCCCATATGTCTGGAAAATCAAGTCACCATGAGTCAGTGTTCACAAAGGAGACAGAGAAGTCCTGTAAAAATTTTATTCGAATAAAGAATGAGTCCAAGGGACATATCCTTGTGGGGTCTCTTAACCTACAGAGGGATGCAGCCCCCCTTTTATCCTACTTTCCTGGCTGTAACAGACCCTACTCATTTCTCCATTGACTGAGGTACTCTGAGTGTATAGACTTCCCGATCTGCCTAAGACAATGAAAATATTCATGTAGTTAAGACATTCAAGACATTCATGTAGTTATGCCCACATCATGTATCATGTGTATCTTGGTCAGGTAAATTCTATTTGTTTGTTCTTTCCTTCCTCTTGTCTCAAGTCGGGTTCTGCACAGGCTTCCCTTGTTGTTTATCTTACGTAGAGGCTACTTCAGTTCCTTATCTTGAGCCTCGGTATGCACGGTCTACTTTGGTAAAGACATACCATATGTAAAGGTATATCATAATGTATCATATAGCTTATCTGAATAAATGAATGAACAACTCTATCCTCTGATTTTCTAATGGATCAAGGTTATACTGGAGCAGTTATATTTAGCAATACATGTGATGAAATGGATTATGTGGTATAATATACACCAAACATCATGACTTCTTTTTTTATCTTAAAGGAATCTTTCATACTGGGAAGGTTACTGCGATTTGGTTAATGGCACAGGTGAGCCTATTCAAGCTTTTTTAAAATGCAGCACATTTCTTGATATTGCAAGGGAATAGAGAGATACAATATTTAAGTTAAGATCCTGGGCTTTGACAGTTTCGTATTCTATATTTTAAATTTATATGTAAACATAAATGTGTACCTACAACTACTATTATACACACATGTGTATATTTCTTTTAACATATATATTATGTTATTGTACATTATTTTGTATATACATGTACATATACCCTCTTTAGCTAGAGTTGATGTGGAAGAGACTTTATGGTACATTATAACTATGATTCTTTTTCTTTGCTGTAGCAGTGGAAAATTATCTTTACATTCTATTAACATAAATTCATTTTCAGTGTTAAAAAATAAAATTAAATGCACAAGATGCACAGATTTTTTTTTTTTTTTGAGATATGAAAAGAAATTTAGGTGATAAGGGAGAAAGCTGTCAGACAGGTGGTTGGAGGACACTAGCAAGTAAAAAGGGATGAAGAAGAGAAGTAGTTAAGTTTTATATGAATAAACTAGAGGAATATATTTTGGAATATTTTCTTTTGGAATGCATATGGGAACAGTTGATCTGTATGGGATACATTTGTTCAAGATGATATTTTTCTTCTTGATGAGTGAAAGCATTGCTGTGAGGACACCAGAATCTGTTGAGCTGAGGCTGGCAGATGACATGGTGGAGGTCTTTGCAGAGAGGTGTAGGTCTTTAGTGAGCGAGTATCAAAATAAACAGGTTTTGAGGTTGAGGTGGTGGGTTTTTTTCATTTTCTGTGCTGCTTTACTGGGTGGAGATAATTTTCCTTATAACCCATAGCACACGGCAAGTTATTCTGAAGTATTTCAAACACATCACAGGAACCTGACTTTCCAAAAGTCTGTGAATCAGGAAGGATTGGTTCCTTTTTAAACTATGTCATTAGTTTTATAAGAGGGAACATTTTCTTAGGTTCTGGGACTTTCCTTCTTTCTTAGAGATCCTCAACTCAGTTTTTGGTGGACGAAAAACTGAACATGAGCCGGCAGTGTGCGCTGGCAGCCCAGAAGGCCAACCGTATCCGTATGACGAAAGGCTGCAAGAATTGGGCTTGTTCAGCCTGGAGAAGAGGAGGCTCCGAGGTGACCTCATTGCAGCCTTCCAGTACCTGAAAGGGGCCTACAAGGGGGCTGGGAGAGGACTTTGTACAAGGACCTGTAGTGATTGGACAAGGGGTAATGGGTACAAATTGGAATCAGGGAGGTTTAGATTAGATATCAGGAAGAAATTCTTCACAGAGAGGGTGGTGAGGCACTGGAACAGGTTGCCCAGAGATGTTGTGGAGGCCCCATCCCTGGATGTCTTCAAGGCCAGGCTGGATGTGGCTTTGAGCAACCTGGTCTAGTGGAAGGGGTCCCTGCCCATGGCAGGGGGATTGGAACTAGATGATCTTTAAGGTCCCTTCCAACTCTAACCATTCTATGATTCTATGAACCCTTCTTTTCCCAGGGTCAGCTCTTTGCTTTTTCTTCTTCCACAGCTGATGGAATACACATACTCAGCTAACTAGACTAAGTGCTCCAGTACAGTGAAAATGCGGAGATTTCCTTGTAAGCAAATGTTGTCACTCAGTATACAAGCACATTCAGTGTGACTGCTCAGGAGAGTCCATGTGTTTAGAAAAGCAGCAGGTTTAAAAAGTCTTGTAAGTGTCAGAATTCCTTCTTGTCTTGTAAGCTTTCAAACCAAATCACAACATGTATAGTGTAAGTAAATATCTAGATAAAAATATTAAGCAGCATTCTTGTATAGGGCTTGAAATGAGTCCATGTTTGCAAACTCTCCATGAATGTCAAGATTTAGACATAGACCGTGTGTCTAGGATGATCTTGGATCTTCTTTAAGAAAAAGTGCTTCTGTCAGCAGTGGGCAAGAGGCCGTATGTAATTTAGTTTTCTGCTCTTGCCAACTAGATTCAAAGATATCACAGATGTTTTTAATCCCTTGGTTATGGCTGCTGACTAAGAAAATAAACATAAATTGTAAGAAGAAGTAACAAATGTACTGGTTAAAGGTTTGTTACGACACCTTGTTTGGGAAAAATGGTAGAGAGTCCTCTTACTTAACTCTGGTTTCTTATAGTGCAGAAATATGGATCTGAACTGGCTGTGTTATTTTTTTATAATGAGTGGAGAAAAACACATCACCAAAGTACTATTACCACACAAATACTATTACCTTTCTTGCATGTCTACCATGGGTTGAGATGGGTTGTGCCCTAGAAGGGCTTCCCACTCTCCACTAGCTATGGAGAGGATCTCAGCTTACTAAGAAGTCCGCCGAAAAATCTTTCATAGAATCATAGAATGGTTTGGGTTGGAAGGGACCTTAAAGATCATCTAGTTCCAACTCCCTAGAAGGTGGTCTGTGACACCTTCTACTAGGTCAGGTGTCTCAAAGCTCTATCCAACCTGGCCTTGATCCCCTCCAGAGATCCACAACTTCTCTGAGCAACCTGTTCCAGTGCTTCACCACCCTCCAAACTAAATCTATCCACTTTCAATTTAAAACCATCCCCTCGTCCTGTCACTACAGACCCTTGTAAAATGTCCCCCCCAGTTTCATTGTAGGCCCTTTCAGGTACTGGAAGGTTGCTATAAGGTCTCCCCCGAGCCTTCTCTTCTCTGAACAGCCCCAACTGTCTCAGCCTGTCCCCATAGAGGACAGCTCTCATCATCTTCATGGTCTCCTCTGGTCTTATTCCAACCAGTCAATATCTTTCTTATGTTGGGGGCCCCAGAGCTGGATGCAGTACTGCAGGTGGAGGTCTCATGAGATCAGAATAGAGGAGGAGAATCACTTCCCTCGACCTGCTGGACACGATTCTCTGGATGCAGCCCAGGATGCAGTTGGTCGTCTGGGCTGCCAGCGCACACTGCTGGCTCATGTCCAGCTTTTCATCCACCAGTACCCCCACGTCCTTCTCCTCAGGGCTGCTCTCGATCCATTCTCTGCCCAGCCTGTACTTGTGCTTGGGATTGCCCTGACCCATGTGCAGGACCTTGCACCTGGCCTTGTTGATCTTCATGAGGTTTGCACAGTGAAAAAAGGTTTATCACTGATTAGTCAGTTTTGAAGTCTAAATCTGTGTTTCTTGTGCAGGTGAACCAAGCATCTCTAGAAAGTTTTAAGTCTTTAGACTGCATATACCTTGAATCAATGGCAGAAGGTATTGGGATCTGTTTTAAGCAGGGTTGGTTTTTTGTATCCTTTGTTTTTAATGGGCTTGATCATACAACTTCACATCTTAAAAAACAAACAAACAAACAAAAAAACCCAAACCCAGATGCCATAACTTGGCTGGCGTTCAAAACCAATACAATCTTATCTGCGGCGTGCCTGTCACTGCAATAACTCACATACATATTTTCCCCATAAATGACTCATTTTGTTTACTTTTTTCACAGCTTTATGGGAAAGTAACAGCTGAATATTGAGCTAGAAATTTAATTGTGTCTTCTAACTGGAATTGCTCTCAAGCTCATATTATATTTTATTCACAGATGGGGCATCATTCCCACCATTTGTCAAGAAGGATCAAGTACTGCGCTTCTTCTCCTCTGATATCTGCAGGTAGACTGATCCCTTCGAGGCATGCGTCCACACCTGCATGTGCTGCACGAATGCTCTTTCGTTTCAGAGGGCAGCTGCAGTGGCTCTGTTTGGGCTCAGGTCACTGAGCATAAACATTTCACCTAAACATAAGTAAACTCATGAGCACAGCTCTTGAATCAGAATCTGATTCTACCACTTTTTCTTATGTCAAGTAGCATAGGTGTACTTTATTTCAGCCAGTTACAGATGTATAATTCAGGAACATCTGACACTGTGTGAGCTGTTACAGACCTATGAAAGACCCTGAGGACAATAATGTTCAAAGTCCTGAACTTCTAAGGGTAGGACCCAGCCTATAATCTGTTTTATTTGATCTGAGGAGGCAATAGGCACAGCAGAGGCCAGTTAGGCCCATCTTCGGCATATATACAGAACATCATCTATGCAGAACAGGATTTATTGTTATCAACTAGGTACACAAAATTATTTTCTCACAGGATATTTTTACATATTTTATTTTTATATCTACAAAAAAACAAACCTGCTTAATACATCCCGTACTGATGACTTTTCAGCCTGTTTCTTCTGCTGCGGCTGTCTAGTGTCCCTGAGTTCTCCAGTGGGATCGCTGAAAGCAATGTTAAAGATTTGAAGTGCATCACAGTGTATTTACTTTGGGAAGTTTGACCTTTTTATTTATTTTGCTGCCTAGAAACAGCTGCTTCCTTTTCATTATGTTTAAAGTGGGGCAATTGCTTTGCAGACTGTTAGTTTTTGAAGATCAATGTTTTTATATGAAGCTAAAGATTTTTTGTGAAGTAATTGCATATCCAAACTGGAAAATATTTCACAAGTCAAGGAGAAGGGAATTCTATGCAGAGGAGAAGAGATAATATTCTTTGGATTGATTGCACACAGTTTGAGAGAGACCTCTGGCCCTTTAACTCTCACAATTAATCAACAGTGACGAAGGTCTGTAACAATCGCCCAAAGGTCGTGCTGAAATGGAGTCATGGATAATGGTCCTGTCCATGTTGCAAAACCCAGACGCCTTCTTTTGTTTGACTGCAATACAGTGTTGCTGCCCTGGTTACATTACTGTATAACAACCATATATCCATATCAGTTGATAATTTATCAGGAAAAAGAACCTTAAGTGGCATTCTAATTCGTAATGGAATAAGGTTATATGCAGAATGTTGCCTACATCATAAAGCTTAGATTAATATCATCAGGTCAGCAAAAACCTATAGCAGAGATTATTTATATTAACAAGTATCTCTACTCTAGTCCAAAAATTTTGAAAAATTTCTTAACAGTTGGTGTAGAAGTGTGTAAGGAAAAGAGCTCTTAATTAATTTGAGTATACTGTTTACTAGCAATATTAATAGTTTTTGTCTGATTTTTTATGTATTGTCTTGCTCACCTCTGGGTTTGTACATCCTTTTGTGAAAGTGTGGAATATTCTCCATCACAGAGCAACAACCTTACGAACTGCTGAACAGTGTGAGGGGAGCCTGGACATTGGCTCTCTGGAGTACTTGTTTCTTTTAAGAGAGAGACAGTTTGGGGATCCTTAAGGAGTATTGCCACGAATTCAAATTTTTAATCCAAATGACTAAACCAAATTTCTCCTCTTTTATATTCAGGTCGATCTATGGAGTTTTCCAGGGCAAGCAGGATGTGAAGGGAATCTCACTGTATCGTTTCACAGTTCCTCGTGAAGCATTTGCATCACCTGCTGAAGTCAGAGATAATTATTGCTTCTGTACAGATGAAGTCATATCAAAGAACTGCACATTAGCTGGAGTCCTAGACATCAGTGCCTGCAAAGCAGGTATGGTAGTGCCACGGTACTGCCAAACAGGCCATTTAACTGGGGAGAAAACACACGTCCTGTAGCTGAAACTTTAGGTTCGAAGACGTTCTTGTTTGTGAATTCTTCCACAGATTGCCTGTGAGATCTTTCACTTTTCTGAAGCTTCATTTCCCAGAATGAGGACTACAATATTTCTGTATTTTGCATCGTGCTATGCAAAATCATACTACAGATTGTGTACTGAAACGGCAGGAATAGACGAGGATTCCCTAAGCACTGTATAAAAGGCAGAGATAGTGACGGTCCTCGTATTTGTTATAATTCACACCGGGTGTGTGTACCCTACTATATACACACGCAGGGTTTGAGAGACGCTATTGGCTAAAGTGAGCATTAGTTTAATAAAACAAATATACAGAGTCTGTGTTTGGTGCAGAGTGGACAGCATGGGTGTCCTTCAGGCTTGCTTTTTACTAGAACAAGAGCATGAGGGTGGGAGGAAAAAGTGACAGACAGGTCCTCACTTCAGCATGAGACTGGGAGCACTGCCAGCTCCACAATGTGGACACAGACAAGCAGGATTTGTAACTGTAACATGTTTCGCCCTGAAATTTTTCCTAATGACAGAAGGATCCCAGAAATGCTAAAATTTTGGGGGGGCATGGAACTATTAACATTTTTATCAGGATTGTGTGTCTGTATAAAAAACCTGTGTTTGCATGGAAAATGGCCTCAGAAGATGAGCACTGAAACAAAGCTTAATGATTCAAGTGAATTTGTTTTTTTCTAATAGGAAGACCGGTATTTATCTCTCTTCCACATTTTCTTCATGCAAGTGATTCTTTATTGCATGATGTTGAAGGCCTGAGCCCAGATGAGAAGGAGCATGGGACGTTTCTAGACGTAGAACCTGTAAGTACAAATATTTCATAATCGTAACTCAGTAATCTTGTGATGTTTAAATGTAATTGTAGTAGAGTAGGCCTTTTACCAGAGGGACAAGCAGAATTTATGATATTTTCATGCCTGTTTTTACAAGATCCACTCACAAAAATGTTACAGTGTTCACAGGGGAAATTTAGAGCAGAACGTTGTTTCATTCTGACCTTCAAAATTTGGAAAATAAATTTTGCTTTTTCCTTATTGGAAATGTGGGATTAAATAAATTCTGCAAACTTTGAAGTATGTTATAGTTTTTCTATGACTTTCAATTCCTTTGAGAAAATTATATGAAAACTCTTCTTTCTTCTATACTTAACATTTTAAATTTTATATAATTAGCCATTTTTGTATAATTACTATCTCAATTAAAATTAAATAAAAATAGATCAGTTTATTTCCAAGAAAATTGCTAGAAGTCTGAACAGACTAGTCTGTAACAGACCTGATATAATCTTTATGACTCAGATTGTCCAACACAGCTCCCAAACTGAAAGAATTTATGACAGTTCTGATTTTGACTTTCTCCAATTTTACATCTACTTTGGTTCCAGTGATTCAGATTCTTAACTTTAAGTGTATTTATCAAAATTTTCTGAATTGTGTGATGAATTCTAAGGTTGAAAAATTTTATTTTTCTCTGAATTTGGATGAAAAGGTAAAAATCAAGAATTTACACTAAAACATTTTTAGTCATATAATTTGGCAGTTAAGCTATGTAACTTCAATGAGGAGATCGAAAGTTAAATCTTTATTTCACCTTAATTGGAATAGAGGTATCAACCAGAATTTCCTAAACCTGATATGAAATTTTCAAGAATCACATCCTGGTTGGTTTTTTTTTTTTTTTGTGGAGAGGGAAGAAGAGTGAAAAAGAAGAAGATGAAGAAAACATCTGACCTTTGTTTTGATATATTTGTTTTGATAAGAAATGTTTGGTTTTGGCCCCATGCAAGTTAAACGTCCTTCTTATTGAAAAAGAAAATTTAGCTAATTTCTGGCTAAAAAAACTCTAAAGCATATTTTTTATATGAAACATTTAATTACTGATTTAATATTTTTAAACTTTTTTTAATTCAGTTTTAATTGCAAATTACAAAAGTAACTATGGTAAATTCACAAAATCAGAACTTCTGTGAGAAATGAGAGGCCCTTAGAAGCATTAAAATTTCATAAAAATTGAATGCCTGAAAACATAAGGATAAAATAATATCAAAGTGCTTTTTGACATAGTCCATATTCTGGCTTTAGGTATTCAATTAATTTTTTTTTTTTCCCTGGTTGTAGATCACTGGTTTTACACTACAATTTGCAAAAAGGCTGCAAGTAAACCTCCTTGTGAAGCCTGCACCAAAAATTGAGTAAGTAGTACTTCATTATTTTGTTTTTAAAGACTTGTTTTCAAGAAGGCTTATTGTTTGTTGAAGCTGTCAGTAGAAATGTCTGGGAATAGATGAACTAAATATATTCCCAAAGCATTTTCATCTTTCTTGCAAAAACTAATGTCATGACTCTTCAGGGAACATAAATTTAAGCAAAAGAGCAAGCCTTCTTCAGCAAGGCGCCACCCAAGTATTTTAATGCCCATTTGATTTCCCCACAGAAAACAAGGCAACATGTTCTTAAAAATAACTCTTACAAAACCCAAATGGAGGCCGCAAGGATGAACTAGAAGGCAAAATGTATTTTCTGTAATAAATCCAATGAGGGAGAGAATTTATGTGTGCTCTGTCACTAGATGGATATTACCAGAAGTGTTGATGGGTCTCTAGCTGTTTCTTTTCTTGTCATTGGCCCAAATGTACATGTATAGACACACATTTTGGGATCCTGTGCATCTGGCAGGTGAACACCACACAGATCTCCAGACCTTCCCACCAACACCTAGCTGTGTCCAGCCTTTCTTCTTTCTGCCTACCTACATATGGAAGACTAGACAGAAAGAAATGGTTGCCTGATATGTAAAATCATTATTAATTGTAGGCACTTTTTTTTTTTCCAGTCCAAAACTACAATAAAAAGGTACATCTGATAGAAATATAGTTAGAGCAGAAGAAAAATGTTTAAGTAGAGATTTGGCTTATGCATCAAAGTAAAGGTAACATGCTGCACTTATTTTCTTATTTCAGAGCTTTATCAAAAGTTCAAAAACCTTATGTTTTCCCTATTCTTTGGCTAAATGAGGTAAGTATATTTTCTGTCTATTAATCTTCACTGTTCAAAAAACAAAACAAAACAAAACAAGTACCTGGACCTAACTTTTTCAATCTTGGTGCCCAAAAATTAGACAATTAAACTCATGCTGTGATTTGCACATGCAAACAATATATTCAGCAGGTGGAGGCTTGCATACTTACCTTTCACTGACATTTTTCTTGCACTGTTTCAGTCTGCTGTTATTGGGGACGTGAAAGCAGAAATGTTCAGAAAGAAAGTCACGGGTCCAGTCCAGATGCTGAGTGTGCTGCAGCTGGTGTTAATAATCACAGGTTCTGTGCTGTTCCTCGCATTCATGGGTTCCTATTTCATATGCAGATCAAAGAAATTAAGATAAGTAAGTAAGCACTAATGGCTCAGTCCTCAGCAGTAACTTTTCCTCCGGTTTCAAGAAGTTCAGAATCATTACCTATTTAGCTGTTCTTATTTTTTAAGTGCTAGTAAATTCAGCAGTTGTTTTGTGGGAAATCATCCAGATAATTTAGCTAATGTTTTCAAATTCTCTTCCCAGCTTTAATCTTTCAGGATGCTCTTAACACACTCCGGAGAGGGTTTGGGAGCTATATCAGAGGACCAACATTTTTTAAATTGCAATTCACAACAATCATGTTGTGAGTTTATGAAAATAGACATTTTATCAAAGACTGCTGAACTGTTCAGAAGTGCCCTCTAGTACTTCTCCGGGACAGAGGCCACACAGAGCACATCCTGTGCTCCTCCAGGATATACCCCTGTCTGAGGTTCGGAGAACCCACTGGAAATTACATTTTTTTCTGAATGTTGGATAGGATTTCTCACTTCTTTCGATCATGCGTTGCTGTCGTAATATTCTAAACATCTCCTGAACGTAGCTAGCCCACTATGACTAAATATACTCCCATCATGGGTACAATAACCAAGTGGTGGACTAATGCACTGACATCTAGGGAAACAAATACATTTTTGGAGTGATTTAAAAGAAGTGTAGAGACATGAATATTTTGGTGAAAAATTTGCTGTATGAAAGAGATATTTATAATACGAAGACTTACCTCATCACATCCCGAATTCTCATTTTATTTCACTACAGGTAACAAAAGACTTCAGAGGTAGTCAATGTTTAATTGAAATTTCAGCCAAGCAGCATGTTAAAATTCAGAGACAAAAGGTATGATTCAAGGCACAGTCAGTCCACATGCTATGGAACTCAACATGCTTTTCTCTTTTAAGACGACCATGTCACTAACTCAAATAAGCTGATGTTTCCAAAGGTCCACACTTCTGACATCACTGAAGAGGCCACCAGGGAAACTATGCTTTCGAAGAACTTTGATTAATTGAACCTTGTTACAAATTTTAAATGACATTCAAACAGAGTGAAGCTGAGGTGTGGTTGGATTTAATCCACCTTCTGCCACTTATGCAACTTGCTACTTTTCCTGGGATTTGCAAGACATGCAAGCTGTTTGCTGATGTTCTGTCTCTGAGCACAGGCTGGGAATGACAACACCATTGAGCTCATGCTGTGCTCTAGATGCTCTCATTGCAATGTTTCTTTCCATTCCTTCAAGGAATGGAAGCTGCTGCAATAGAACTGCTCTCTGTCCTCTATTCAGGGATGTGAATTGCATTGAATGTGAAGTTTATTATGTAAAGTTACTAACTGTAATACATGAAGTTAATATAAGACTTACTAAAACATGTGGTTTATACATTTTCTGTGGACATGGCTCATAGACACACCACAGTCATTCATACATTGATGCAGCTCATAAACATTTGGCTCCACAGCTGTTTAGCAACCTGAACCACTCCCTAACTCCCAACCTGCTCCACTGCTTTCTGTTGCCACCCATGTGCTTTTCTTTCTGGCCCTTGCTTGAACACCAGCCTCTGCTCCGCCTTAACCCCACTTCTCCCAAGGTTTCCTGTAGAGTATCATCTGATATGTTACCTTCAAGGTCGAGAGAAAGTATTCCAGAATGCTCCAGACACAGGAAAGACTGAGATAATGATTTTGAGCAAACACCAGAGGGTTCCACTTCCCTGCTATTGAAGAAATTGAATGAAAACAGGTAGCTGCAATTCTTTATTGATAAACCATATGCCGCAAGGAAATTTGTGCAACCGTTGGTTTAATGAGGTGCATCAGCCCATAGACAGGTAGCAAACATTGCCATCTGTATATTTGGTTTGCTTTTTCATTTACTCTGAATGCTAAATCTTAGAAATGGTAGTCAGTGGGGCAAATACTGAGTGTTGTGGGGTCTCTCCTTTTCCCATGGGCTGAATTCAGTGCAAGTTCAGCATTTTTGAAGATTTTTTCTTGGATGTTTTGTCCCCTTAAATAAGAACTGACAAGAAAAAGGAAGATCAAAAATGGCCAGCCTGTCATAGCCTGGTGTTTGGAAGTAGTGCTACAACAGACTTCAAACCAGAAAGATTTGTCTTGATAGTGAAGGACAGTGTCTTTTGCCAGGTATCTTTGATAAGGTGTTTTCACCCTCTGGAAATAAAGGGAAAAACCCAACAGACTGAAATGCTGTTGTTTTAATCTCATGTTCCTTATGGAAAATGTTGTGTAGCTGGCAATAGAGTCAATGAATCACAGGAATCCCAAGAGATTAGTTTTGAAGGCAAGGTCCATGTGGAACATGGCTCCACCTCTTTTTCTCACTGTGAGCTGGAAATACAAAGTAAAAGGGCAGGAGATGTGAAGGAGGCATGGCACTCAAGGGAAGTTCTGCTGTCACTTCGAGAGCCAATGCATTTGTTTCCTGTAAGTGCTTGATTGATAGTCAATGAAAAATAAGACCTTTCTCTCACCTCTACATCATTGCTGGTGTTGTATGTGATGCTCTGTTCTCATACTAGTCTGGGGACACTTTGACACAACTGAAGACATCCCTAGGGTCCTATGGCTTGGTGAAAAATGCATGAGCACCTCTAGTCATTAAGTTACCTTCTCCTCTGAAACATGCACAGCCCTACTGTGGTTCAAGATTTAACACCAATTTTTTATAGCAAAACTAGTCTTTTGTACCAGAATCTAAAAGTGAGATCTTTTTACCAAAGGAACAACAGCGATGTCGTTTTTGATACACTAACATTTCAGCTTCATTTTCTTTGGCTTAAGTTCATTGTCAGCAAGTTAGCATTTGCTTTACTAGTGTTGGTTAGTGTTGTGTGGTGCTCCAGCAGCAGTGCTCCAGTGAGTCAGGCCGTGATTTTAAATGTCTCAGGGCCCAATTTTGCATGCACACAAATATGTTTGTTCATATGTATAATATCACTGATCTCAATGCAGGTTTGGACTTTTAAACTATGTTCAACACCTACACTGCACTTGAATTAAAATTAGTGGTTACTTTGGCCAAAGCATTGGTTAGAGTTATTGTTAATTCATGTTATTAAGGCTGATGTTAAGTATTTACATTTGTTCGAACAGTGCAGTATAAGCATTTATTGGAAATGTTAATGAACTCAATAAAAATAAAATAAAGCTCGAACTCATCTTTCTGAGATCCTTATGTCTAATTGTAAATAAAGTCTTCTGTGTTGGATAATTTACTCCTTGTGTTCCTTTTCTTGGTATTTTGGATGTGTTTACCTAGAGATTGACTTTATAATTTGATGAATAAGAGAATTTACAACAAACGTTTAGGTCACCATACTCTGACATGTCACAGCTATTTAGAACTGCGTATCAAGTTTCATGTTGCTGCATGATATATCATAAATAACAGTGTATACAACAGTTATGCTCTGGATTACAAAAAGAAAGAGACTTTGTGGTCAGAGCTGAGCACCAGCATGTCCAAACTGAAGCAATTCTAAAAGAATGTCAGGAAACCAAGCTCAGAGGGAGACGGCTTTCCACATCACTTGAGCTGTAGATGTTGGCGGGATGGTGTTGGCACATCCAGCAGCACATCATATTGTCCTTTACTGGCTCTGCTGGCCCAGCAGGTTGGGTGGCAGGGGAGCGTGGCTACGCTCACACCTCACGTTCCCCACACTTCTCAGGTCCTTGTGGGTGAAAATCAGACCTGACCCAAGAGCTAACAGCCCACATACTTACACCCCAGAGCAGGTGTGCCAGCTCTTGATCTCTAACTGTAATTATGCTTTCAAAGCCTTTCTTAAAACCTGTTCTTCCTACCTAGCCTACCCGTGTCTGTTAAGGTAACATAAACATGCTAGTACACTCTGAAAAAAAAAGCAAATTTATGTTTTCTCTGTTCTTTTAACTGTGAGACTAGGCAAGGACTTGTTTTATTCATGGGTGTACACATCAACAGTATATAAAAATGCAATAAATTCAATGACTAATAAAATGTATTTACAGCTTTTTTTTTTCCCATTAGCCATATAAACCAAAAGCCATAGGCAAGTGACTCACACCTACAATATGCAAACTGTATTTATAAATAAAAGTTATTAATTTTCTATTATCTTTCCCCTCTTTTCATGCCAGATATCCCTGATGATCCTCTCTGAGCAGTACCCAAAGGAGCCAGGGACATAAAGCCCACCCAGCCAGTGCCAGGCTGAGACGGATCTCAGCTTTACTATGTAGGAAAAGAAACCAAACGCTTTGCAGTAGGCGCCACCCAAAGGGCATACAGTTTTTCACAAGTTCTTCTGCTTCATTTCAGCATAGGTTATCAAAAATAACTCGACTAAAATTTACTCTTGCTTCCTCTGCCTGTTGAGAACACCAGAAATAATTGCATCACTTCAAAATCGGCGTGAGAAAAAACACATCCTAAGTGTCTGCTGAATGACAGACTGTCAGATGCAACGCTGAGACCGAAATTTTGATGCCTATTAATATTGTGGAGTGTTCTGCTAAGACAGGGTTTTCCTTGAGTTCTGGGAATTGGAGGTTGATGAAATACATGCTTATGTAAGCAGACACACCCGTATGTTTTCAGGACTATTTCTTGCCCAGCATCGTATGTGTAACACCAAGGATTTGTGGACAAATCAGGACTTACATGTAGCTGCGTGTGTGGCCTTTTACATAACTTAGGGTTTGGATGCACCTTAAACACATTTCTAATTTCAACCCCACTAGAATATTTGCATGTAGGACTGGGAAAGTTGTATTTTTGCCCTTATTTTTATTTCATAATTTCTCCAAAGGGAAAGCCCACATATGTGTATGCTTCTAAAGGTAAATTCTTTCACTGATACTTTCTTTCATGATAGAAGCTAAAACTTGATGGGCACCTCAAACCATCAGCAGAGGGTAAAAGCCTGCAGGAGGTGCAGGTACTTTATGGTACTGAGATATAAATCCAGATATTTCCTGTGTTTGCAACACAAATGTGGAGCATATCCTGTGTGAATTCACTCTACCGGTGTAACTCTGTATCTTTGCACTGGTCCAACACTGGGTGTGCTTTGTGAAAGCAGCTATCACCACAATTAATGCACACAGACTCAGAGACACACGACTGATGTGGGCAGCTGCATTTTATTTTGTAGTCTTGACAACCTCCCCTGGTTGTCTTCAGCAGGACTGAAGAACACTGTTGACACTTATGGACTCACACTGACAGTAAACAAGGACAAAGGGAGAACCAGAACCCTCTAATTATTTCTATTTTTCCTATGAGCAATCAGAAAAAGCACTAAGAAAGAACTTTTGGCAAAGGATTTTAATTCAATGACAAGTCGGTGCAGTCAAGAGGTTAAATCAGGAAAGCTATTCCAGCTGCCCTCTCCTCCAGGTGGCAGGGACTTCCCTGAGCACCCAGGATCATTACTCGCTTTGCTGAATGTTCTACATATGTGTCTCCTACGTATGACCATTTGGCACTTTGTACAGTCCTGAAAGAGCCTTATCTGGTAGATATACACAATGTTTCTAGCAGTAAAAATAAGTTAATGACTAGGGGTATAAGCCAGAATGTGTAATATGTGGAAAAGCTCCTATTTTTATGTGAGTCCATATAGATTACACTAATTCAGATGAAGAGAGTGTGCTATGATTCAGGTTATTCCTTCAAATGAAGCTAAATTTCTAGAGGAAGATGATTTCTAAATCACAAAGATGAAGGGGCTCCCAGCTCTGAACAACTCTTATCTACTGTGTTTTATTTGCTCCCTAATATATGACTTTAAAGTAAAAATTATGAAGTGGGGAATGAAATGCTGAGGAGGAAGGAAGGGCAGAAAGAGAGGTAATGAGTACAGGAGGCCACAAAAGTCATGTAGGAGGCTCTTCACTGAGACTTTGGCTAGCGTTGGCAGCATCCTTCTGAGACAGCTGGCCTTTGCATATCCCCATCTCAGGTACCCATCCTCCCTTGCTGAGAAACCAAGTTACCTTATTCATAGATATGGCCTTTGCTGTTCTTGCTTCACACCAGAGCCCTTTTATGGAATCTCCCCTAAAGCTCTTTGTAGGCAGAAGAGAGAAATGAATGAAATTAATACCCTGCTAAATAATTCAGGAGAAGATTTTTATGAACTCTGCTTGCAAGTCTCTTCTAAGCTTTTTTTACAGTCACTTCTTGGATGTTCCAAAATAGTGTTTAGGAAGAAATGCTCTCTTACAGCCTGAAACCCTGAATAGCCCATTTAGATAAAATATATGTATTGAATTGTTTGGTCCACATGCACCCATGCAGCAAAACTTGGGAATGCAACACAGCTGCCAGCAGTGGAAGAGATCAGTGCTTTACACC